GTTATAATAATAATAATAATAATAACATTATTATTATTATTATTATTATTATTATTATTATTATTATTATTATGACTGCATAATACACAACAGTTTACTTTTAATAGTTTAATAGTCTGATGGTAGTTAAAGAACAATAGTTTAATTATTGCATTTTTTATTAAATATTTAACTATTCATAATTAATTTAAAATGATAAAAAACTGATGATGATGATGACAATAATAATAATAATAATAATAATAATAATAATAATAATAATAATAATAATAATTATTATTATTTATTTATTTATTTAATGCAGTATGGATTTTTTACATTACTTGCTTACATAATTAGGCTTTGGAAATTATATCATTTAATAAATAATACAAAATGTGAGTAAACATATTTCATCAGAGATACATTTTAAATGTTTAATCTCCTTTAAATATTAATATAAACTGTAAGCTGCTCAGATCGCTCAGCAAACCGTAGACAAGCTAGTTAGTTTTAACAAAAAACATGAGGCACGGCTATTTATAATGCATGTAAAACACAAATTTACTTATAAATATGAAAATAAAAAAACAATTATGTAATATTACAGTGGATGCATGGTTATGAGTGCTGATGAGATCACTTTAAAGGATTAAAAATCATCTTTAAAAGCATCCAAAGTTACTGAACCACTGCACAATATGTAACTTTTAAAAGCACTGCACTGGTTTCACGGTGGCTCAGTGGTTAGAACGTTCACCTCTAAGCAAGAAGGTTGCTGGTTCAAGTCCCGGCTGGGTCAGTTTCCATTTCTGTGTGGAGTCTGCATGTTCTCCCTGTGTCGGCGTGGGTTTCCTCCAGGTTTCCCACAGTCCAAACACATGCGCTATAGAGGAACTACATGGTAGTAATGTATGAATGTGTGTGCTAATGTGAGTGTGTATGGGTGTTGTGGCAGGAATGGCATCCGCTGCAAAAAACATATGCTGGAATAGTTGCCGGTTCATTCTGCTGTGGCGACCTCTCATGTCATAAAATCTTTTAGTGTATGTTCGCATTCAAATAAAAATGATACATTGTATAATTAAATTTTGGTGCTATTTTTTTTCCGTGATAAGATCTTAACTCGTCTTCTTTAAACTTTTTTTCTTTCATAATCTGAGAGCAAACCTGCAGTGTGTTTGCTCACAGCCTATTAATAACAGTTTCCTTTCTGCGGCGGCACAATGACGACTTCAGAGGCAACCCTGAGGCATTAAACTTTCATGTAAAGACTGACATTCAGCGCTCAGCATTCAGCCTCTTCTCACACTTCTCTCTGCTTTCATTCATCGCAGCTTTGATCCTCGGCCTCCCGACTCCAGCAACTAGCATTTGCAGCATTTAATGCATTTTGATCGCCCACTGAAAGCGAATGAAAACACACACACACACACACACACACACACACACACACACACACACACACACACACACACACACACACACACACACACATACACACACACATACACACACACACACACACACACACGCTATACACACCGTTTAATGACTTTGACCTTTTGTCTTGAAACGGCTTTGTTCATTGACTAAAGTAAACATACTGTGAGGTAAGAGATCTTGAAGTTCTGAGCAATACGTCTGAGCTATACCGTCTTTACTTTGTAACATGATACTGCATTTGATTCCATTTACAAAATCAAAGTGAGGATGACTCATTTAAAGTTAAAATAAAACTAAAATAATCAAACTAAATAAAGTACAGCTAAGAATAAATAAATAAATAAACAAACAAACAAATAAATAAATAAATAAATAAATAAATAAATAAATAAATAAATAAATAAATAAATAAATAAATGAGCAAATAAAATAATAATAATAATAAAAAATAAAAGCTAAAAATAAATAAATAAATAAATAAACATATTAATAAATATAAAAACTAAAGCTAAAAATAAATGAATAAACCAAAGATAAATAAATAAAGTTAAAATTAAATTTATATATATATATATATATATATATATATATATATATATATATATATATATATATATATATATATATATATATATATATATATATATATATATATATATATATATATATATATATATAT